TTATGGATCAAGTGCTAAACTACAAGGTGAAAAAACCAGAGTGATGGGAAACCACTATAAGACAATGTGTCATTTTGCGGAGCCTCTCAACCAAACCATAAGAATATATAATGACAGAGCTCTTTGCCCTCCCGTGTAGAACTATGCTTCAAAAGTACCTGGGAGCTACTCCTGGAGAAATAGGTTTCAGTCAACTAGTGAAGCAAATCTCAACGCTGAAATGGAGTGCCTCGGGACGGGGCAGGCCAAACTGTACAGCCTTGTCGTAGATGAAATCAGGATCAAACAAAGGCTTGAATACAACAAGCAAAGAGATGTCTTTCTGGGAGACGTTGACGACATGGGCGCTTTAAACAATGTTTTGTCCGACTTGGAAAGGAGTGAACTAGCGAACTTGCTTTTGTGCTTTTTGATCTGTGTGGCCTTAACACTATGTTCCGAATCCCAGTGGTATACTTCACTACAGCCTGCACTGGTGAACTACTCACTGAAACTACCAAGCACATCATCAGAACAGCTGGAATTCAAGATAGTCCGAGCAGTGACTGATAACCACAAAATAAACGTCGCTGCAGTGAAAGTGTTGTCGTGTGGGAAATCAAAAACCCGAGTGTCTTATCCCAGTGACCCTAGCCGAAGTTTGTTTCTGGCATTTGATCAGTCACATCCTATAGAAAACATCAGATCCCAATTTCTAGCATAAAAATTAGGAAGAAATGGTGAAATTTCATCAACTTACATAAAGGATCTCTACAGGATGCAGCAGGGCTTGACTCTCAAGTCGGTACGTTTTCTCATGAGAAAACACGTCTATCCGTCAAACATTCAAACATAAAAAAAATGGGAGTGAGGCCGTCCAGTTGTTTTTACCAGCCATGACAGCGGCTTTGTCTTTTATGAAAGATCAAGCAAGCAGAGCACACGTGCGACACGAAGTCTGCCAGTGCTGGCCCAACCGTCGGGTTCATGAACAATGTGAGCAGATGATTTACTATCATGGACGTCAACAGCAGCACCATCCAGACTAGAGAATTCACTGGTCCTGAATACACCAGGCTTCATTGGTTGGAACTTTTTTTTTTTAATACATTGCAAGAATGCAAGCGTACCAATGGAATTCCTTACAAAGAAAACTCACAATGCACTCGTATTCACCACGGTCACCAATGTCCAGTGCATCACATTTCTGTTGCACAGAGGGTTCAAATTTGTGTTAAGCAGAAAATTTTCAAGTGACTCTATTGAATCCGTTTTTTTTTTTTTTGTACCCTTCAACGCAGCGCTGGCTGTAATGACATGCTAAATGTGAGAAGCGCTCTTTCGGGCCTAGAGAAGACAGGCATCGTTGCGGCTTCACACGCCAACAACGTACAAGGCTCATTTGTTTCCACGGGAAACATTATTAAGGGGGGACACGGGTCTTTGGCACCGAAAAATCGCGAAAAAATCGAATTTTCGAAAATGTTATTTTTGGAATCTACCCACATTATTGTCTTTATACGAAAAATATCATACCTGAAACGCATCTATTTCAACCGCAATATGACTTTTTTGCATCAATTTGTGTAGATGTAAAACGGAAAATCGCGCAACTTCAAAAATGCGCAGCTCTCGTGCCACAGCCGCCCGCGCCGCTACTTTGGTCTCATTTGAAAGAGGAGCCGTTCCTCTTGAATTTTCGCGCCCTAGCGCCTTCCTCCATTCACTTGTGTCGGTGGAAAAACGGCGCAAAAAAGTTGTAAAACGGCTGTGCCTATTGGCGGTTCCAGACACGTGACAAAAGCTAGCTACGCGATTGGCTGAGAGCATCGTCTGCAAGCGCGAGTGCGTCGTTGAGGCAGCTGCCATTTTCTCCTGCCGCCCGCATTGCAAAAACGATGCCACCGAGAAAGTTTGCGCGCGACCATAAGTACGGGAAGAAGAGAAAAAAGTCGCATATACTTAACATTAGAAAAGTTGCGGAACGATCAACTGTCGTCGAGGATGGCGTGGACGCCGAAGATGAGCGACCGCAGGCATCGAACAACGGAGCCGCCGAGCTGACCGAGGAGCGCCCTAGAGGAGTAGGCCTAACGTGCCCAACAACGAGCGCCCGCGACCGCTACCCCGACGTCGGCCGCGTTCGTCGTGACACTGTTATCTTGGCACCTACAGATATTGATGAGCGGCAGAACAGGGCCGAAGAAAAAGTGAAAGAGCTAGCATCGACTGCCGCAACGCAACGAAAGGCGGACTTGCTGGCTGCGAGCGACTCCGGTGCCTGCCCGCTCGACGAGACTTGTTTCACCGTGGTGTGCTTGGATTTAGTAAATACGCTTCTCCAGCACATGAAATGCAAGGTATGTGGTGGAGACGGCAAAATTTATCAGGACGAGCGCGAATATGGCCTTGCAGTGAAACTGGTGCTTTATTGCAGCAATTGCGGCGATAAAGCAACGGTTTGGAGCTCGCCGCGCGTGGACGGGGACAATAAAGTGAACCCGTTTGCCATAAACATTCTGGCCGCGCGCGCGATGCAAACTACTGGCAACCGACAAACAGCGCTGAATGATATTTTCGCCGCTATGAATATTTCTCACCGCGGACTCCACACGAAAACGTGGCAGGCCTACCAGAAGACGAAGTTGACGCCGGCCGCGATGCGCGCGGTTGAGACGCAAGAAAAAGAGAGCGTGGAGGCGGTCCGGAAATTATACAGCGAGCTCGATGTGGATAATCCTGGTAATATCGCAGTGTCCTTCGACGGGTCATGGATGACCCGCGGACATACGTCCCACATTGCTATTGGCGCTGTCATTGAGCTATTCTCCGGGCTCGTCTTAGACCACGTTGTATTGAGCAACTTCTGCGCTGGTTGCGAACGTGGACCTAAACCAGACGACCCCGACTATGAAGAGTGGAAGGCCACTCACAAATGCCAAAAAAACTCTGACAAGAAGTCGGGTGAAATGGAAGTTGAGGCTGGCCTTATGCTCTTCAAAAGATCTTGGGAAAGGCACAAACTAAGGTACACAACTGTTTTGTCTGACGGCGACAGCAGGACGTTCCTCGCCTTGAAGGAGGCTGAAGTGTACGGATACATCGACATCGAAAAGGAGGAGTGTGTCAACCATGTACAGAAGCGTATGGGGACAGCCCTTCGCAATCTGCTGGCAAAACAGAAGGGGTGTGATGCCCAACCTCTAGGTGGAAAGGGGAGGTTGACTGGGGACCTAGTAAACAAACTCAGCTCGTACTATGGCTGGGCAATAAAGTCTCATAGTAACGACATTGAGGCAATGGAAAAGGCTGTGATGGCAACTTATCATCATGTGACATCCAACGACAGTCAATCGAATCACAGCCTTTGTCCTACTGGTCCAGATTCCTGGTGCCGGCAAAATTCTGCGAAAGCTAAAGGAGAGCCAGCGCCAGGACATCGTTACAACCTCCCTGATAATGTGGCAAAGGCTCTGCTTCCCATATACCAGCGCTTATCTGAGAGGAAGCTTCTCGAGCGGTGTGTGCGCGGCAAAACACAAAACAGCAATGAGAGCCTGCACTCGCTAGTGTGGTCACTCGCCCCAAAAGAGCAGCACGCATCTCTCTTCAGCATTGAGGCAGCTATGGCTGAAGCTGTCATGATCTTCAATGCAGGCCGTGAAAGAACTTCTACAGGAATTTTGCACGAACTATGCATGAACCCTGGTCATCGAAGCGTGAAACGCATGCGAGAAAAAGACCAGCGGCGATCTGTTTCATCGGCCTGCAAACGTGCATCTGCAGACAGTGTGCAGCGGACACTGCAGAAACGACATAAAGGTGGTGGGGGTCAAAGTGACTATGCCCCTGGAGCATATTAGTAATTTGGAAGTGAAATTTGTGCATTTGTTTTTATTCTTGTGTGTAAATAAAGTGTGTGTTCGTTTTTCTCATTTTTCTCAAAATGTAAATAATTGGTTTTCACAGCACCAATTCTGTGATATCTCAGCTCCAGATGCAGATATGATGATAATTCTTTTTGTACCACTTAGCTGAATGAGTATAGCAGATAATGTTGCAAGCAGATTTTTAAATTTCCTTTTCACTAATTTTTTATATGGAGCAATCGCTGACATAGTCATTGCCTTACACTGCGTGCTCATGTTCAATAGCCTATAATTTTGGACCCAGTTCCACGATTCAAAATCTGCTTGCAACATTGTCTTCCTTATGATTTAGAGAGTCTAAAAACATGCTAGCCAAAAAGTTTTGATAAGTGGTTACTTTTTAATTGTAATACAGCACAATGGCAATTAATTTCTCATTATCTCAGGAACTAATTAGGCTAGAGGAAAACTAATTGCATTTTTAGAATCTGCTTAAAAACCTTAAGAAGCATGCCGATTTTCATCAACATAGGCCAGGTAATAAGAAAGTTGATTTCAGGTGCAGTGTCCCCCCTTAAGAGCAGCGAGCATGTCGCCAAGTTGTTCTGCAGCCTCAGCGCAGCACTTGCTGCATGAACTGTGCAGCTCTTTTAGGCCGTTTCTTCCTACGCCAGATATCTACGCTCTCATCGAAGGTTACATATCCCGTGTTGCGGTTGAGAAAACAAAATGCCAGTGCTGCGTGTCCCTGGTCCTAAGGCACCAGCACGAACGAACTGATTTCCTACTACGATGCTTATGCTACACCACTTGTGTGCGTTCTGCATGCCCAAAGAGGTCTGTAGACGCGATCCTTCTAGACCGCACATCCCTCCATAAGAGACGTGTGTTATGCAGAGTGTGGACATAATTGTTGGCCTCCCGGTACTGCTCTGTGACCGTTGCGAAGAAGGCCAAAGGCGTAATTTATTACAACTTGTATGCAGAAAGTTCAGGAAGCCGCTGTTTAAAAACTATGCCGTCGACTACACCGACGAAAAATGCGTGGCCAGGCTTTACCAAAGGAGGCCGTTGCACCGCGCACCTTTAATGCGAGCTGACAAAAGTGGTTTCAGTTCATCCAGTTGTTTGTTTACTTGTCATCTTTATTACTTTCTTACATTTTCCTCTTGTATATATAAAATTGCTCTGTTTTGTTTTACTACTTCAACCTTCAATATTTTGATCGGCATTGATCGCGTCGTTAGCATGGCATTCTCCTTCGAGCTCCGATTACGTTAAAACGGTGAGACACCTTTAAGACGCTCTTATTTGTGATATGCTATCATAAACAAACAGGGAAATTAGGAATTACCAAATGCGAGTCAACGATATATTGCATAAAATCAGAATTGGCTGCGCGTCATTTTCACATAGGAGTCAGGCAAAGAGAGACTGTGCGAGAGGGTAATAACCTGATGCCACCACGTGGTGACTTGGAGAAACAGACCGCCAGGCACGGAGCAATGGAAACTGGCATGAAGCAACAGGCAAAGAAAAAATAGAGGAGGCACTGAATTATTCCATGATTTCAGGGTAACTTTGTGATACTGAGCTTGCTAGGAGAATTCTTATACTATGGCAACAAATCTTGGCACCTGCTCAAGCTGTAGCCCACGCAGCGTGTTTGGGCCAATATCTTGCATGTTTTCGCTTATTACAATTAACTTTAGTAAGACATATGCAGTGATGGAAGTGTCTTCTTAGTTTTGAAGCAGATATTACATTTACCATAAATTAATCGGAGTTCAGTGCATTGTCTAAGCATTTCGTAAATATCATTATTTCTGACTAAATATATTTAACAGACAACAATCAATGTGAATTTCATGTACTAAACAATGACAGGTTGTCAAAAATGTGCTGTGAAATGAGCTATAATTCAAAATACTAGTATTTGTTGAAGAAATCAAATCAAACCGGAAAAGCTGAGTGCCACGTTTTAGAAGTAACCACAGCACTATGTAACTGTTGCCAAATAGATAATTGGTATGAGACAAGAGCCAGTACTGCTAATTTTACCATATTAACCTGCATATCTAGCTGAGAAAAAACAGCCAAATGAGTCATTTGCTTTTCACATAAATGAGATTAGACCCGACAATGGCGCACACTAGTAGCACACTGGTTCGTTTCAGTTTCTTTAGAACTTGTGAGTTGGTTAAACAGTTGGTCATCCTCCTCCCCAAAGTGTCATTCTGAAGCGATTACTAAAAAAATGCTGTTTAGAGCAGCGATTTTCTTTTGGAGCAGTTTGAAGCAATTGGAGCAGCCCTTCCATAGTTTTATTATCTACACCTAAGAGTATTGAAAACCGCAGCTGCTTTACTACTAATGCAGATTTCAGTATGCAATACAGTTAAAACTCAATCTACCAAAACAAGTTTTTGGAATTTACCAATGTAACAAACAAATTTCCATTCTCCAACAGGTAGCCATAGGGTGCAATGTTGTTACTGACTTGGATCAGTGAAGCTATCATAAAACTCAACTCAATTCAATGAGTTAATCTTGGATTAAGTAAAAACTGCACTGATCTTTTAATTTCGACACAGATGGGTTTCTCTTCGGGCGCACTCTGTAACCTTATTGCATCTAGTGAGATGTTTAATTAAACACACCATCGGCTTTGGCGTCCCGTGTTGATATCACAGATCTCCAAAATAATGGCGTCATTAAAACTCCACGTGATTACATCACATGACATCATAGCTTCGTCAAACCACGTGAGGTGCAGAAAGCTTTTGAAGAGCAGGAAAGAAAGCCTTCAAGTTGTGTGAAGTGAATGCACCAGGAGTTCTGTTTTTTAATTACTATACGAAGCTCTGCACATGCCTACATAGAAACTTACGCAGCAGTCGACCGAATGGCTCTGGGGGGTTTGTTGCTCCTTCAACATGAACATGGTGGTTGATTTTGCTATTTAATAGTGAAAGCAGCAGCCCATCTCCTTCCAATATTTTTGCTTGGCCCCTTCTCCTGGACTTTGTATATCGGCAACCAGTCATGGCTTCATGTGTGACACTCGCCTGCAACGCCTCATGACATGGCTTCCCATGTGAACCTTTCAGACGAGCAGGTGTGTATTAGTGGCGAATAAAATGCTGATTTCGGGTGGCAACGTTATGTCAGATTTTTTAAGAAAATCTTTTTCTGAATGTTCTGATACCCAAGTTAACAAAAGAAAGTGTGGTCTTCACTTGTCTAGTTTCAAGTGTTTCAAAATGCCCTTGGAACAACAAGTGTGTTTGAAAAATGGTAACAAGTTCACTCATGTTCGTCAGCATTGCAAGCCCACCATCAATTTGCATGCTGCTGGCCGTTCTATCGAAAGCTGTGAGGGAGGCAAGCTGTCCTAAAGCAGTGCAATCAAGTTCATCAAGCTTCTGCACCAGCATGTAGATGCCACTTTCATTAACAAGTTGAACAGTAATCAGCATCAATATTGATTTGTACTTATACAAACAAAGGTGCATCACACAAGGAGGCCCTAGTCCCACTATCACATTGGTTTGCAAATTAAGCAGAAGAGGCCTTGTGTACAATGCAGACTCAAAGGGACACTAAAGTGAAATGGTAAATTACCAATAAATGATACTTTGAAAACTGTAGTGTAATTTCACCACCATAGGTTCACTAATAGATAATACAGCAGGTTTCACTTTTAAATTTCCCGCTGAAATCTCGCATAATGATGGATATCAAAGTGCTTTTTTTGCATTTGAGCACAATGAAATGTGAAGTCTCTGGCTTCAGCAGAAGACAATTTTTACTGATCAGAAACTATGTCTGTGACATTAAATTGCCCTGCTTACCCTCTAAAAGCTTGGTATTTTGAAAGGGTCTTTCTCTCTAGTGTCCCTTTAAGTGGCAGCGGCTGGATGGAAGGGCAGACACTAGTGTCATCATCCATGGTGCTCCTTGTGGCCAGAACTATGGAAATAAATGCTGGAAAGAAACAAAATCATCTCTCTTTCATTGTGAATGAATATTTCTTGCAGTGAAAAGAAGGCAATGTACAGGAAATAATAACAGCTACGGCAAGCTGGAGCCATAGCAACCCAGTGCGCACAACTTTTTTAGGTACGTTCAACCAAACTTCAGTCACATGTTTGAGCATTCAGTTCAGACAAGTCAGAAAAATCCTACAATTCAAACAATCGTATTATCTTCAGATATCTCATTTACGGCACACAAGAACCTTACCCCAACTGTGCCCCTGTAAAATCTCACAGCAGCGATTCATAAACGAAACTCGGCAAATAGTTTCAAAATTCAACAACGCCCAAGAAATAACTATTTCCGTACATAAGTGTGCACAAGGAAAGGCTGAGGCATCTGAGTGGGTGAGGAGTACTGAAACACAGGATGTAATCATAAATGGGCAAACGAATGGAAAAGCATCTCATCTGGAACATAGGACAGATAACTTAAGATGATTTACCGGGCAACAAGGTGACGGTCACAGCGGCCACAAATGAAACAAACCTATTTAATTTTGTTGATGTCACACATTCTCTATAAAGTGTACTCTAATAATAGGCATTTTATACATTGAAAAATTCCATGAAATTCGGCTCTTTAGATTATGTAAGTACCTAACATTTGTGGGGGTGCTGACACCCCCTGTAAAGTTGTTCGCACTGCGTGGCGCACGTGTCTCGCCCAAAAGCCGTATATCAGGTTACAACTACTGGGCAGTAGGTGGCGTTGTGTTCGCGTTGATGACCACTATCATCATGGTGTAGCGCAAACGGTGACCCCTGGCGGAAGGCAAGCCTTGGTGGTGGGCGAGAGTTTGAGTGAGCCTCTTTTGCGCGTGGCAGTTGCCGCGAAAAAGAAAATAGTTGTCTCTAGCGTGGGTCCCCGGTGCGTGGCACCGCGGGCTGCGCGTCGGGGGCCCTCGTGGTAAGTCAATCGCTGGCAACGCCACCCTGGGTGTGTTATTGTGTTCGTCATGTTATTGTATTTGTCATGGAGTGTATGGTAATATTGCATACGAATGTCCTAGTGTGTTGATAACGGTTGATGTATAGATTCGGCGAACGATATCGTCGTTCAAAATTAGTTAAATAAATGTGTGTATTGTTTGGTTTGTACCGACCGTGTCAACTGTGTCTGTTCTCTCCAAGAGCGTGGTGGTGTCAGTCACCACCTCGAGACACCACACATTTACAATGCTTTGAGTGTGACCCGTATGCTGTAGCATGCAGTGTGAAAAAGTATCTGTACTCCTGTGCCTAAGGTTATTGCCCATTATAAGAGACTGATGTAAAAGACAAATAAGTATACGAGACACCAGTGTGGCTATATTGAAATAGGGGTTGATATAAAATACGGCTCCCCAGTGCATGTCTCTTACAAATGGGTTCAACTGTATTGCCAAAACCGGGGCATATGAAAGGCAGAGAGTGCAGTACAAGCATGGGAAGGACTGGTATCTACGATTGTTTGCTTTAGCCATGAACAAATGAGGGTTCGATGCGGCAAGCGAAGCGCAAGAGCTTCAGCCTGCTTCCATTATGAGCAAGTGAGAGAGCAAATGCAGAGCACCATTTCAGCTGCTATGATGCATTTCAGCCCAACTTGCAAATTAAGTCATTTCAAGGTGCATAATATATTAGTGCAAGCAACTGGTGAAAGAAAGTGTTCTGTGCTTCATGTTAAGTAATCGTCAATTTTTCTTTCTCAGCTGGAATTAGCCAGGGATATCTGATAGTACTACCACAAAGGTGATGACAACTGGCTGCCACATTATGACATGAATGCTTTGAGGCCTCAGTTTCATTACACCAGTTATTATCTTCTGAAGCCCATTCCAACAAGTGGGAGGATGCAAGTACAAGGTGTGGCACATATTTAAAGGAGTACTGGCACAAATTTTAAAAATTTTCAAACTTGTTCGAAATAAAAGTACTGGCGCCGAAAAACTTAAAACAAATAATGTGGTGCAGGGGAACGCATCAAATGTAGTTTTATTACCAGTACCATAAAAAAAAGACACTTTCGGTTTTGATATGGAGGCGGTGGCTTTTCAGTGATGTGGCGACGTACTAGCACCAAACCTGTCTGCTCGTGGTGCACGTAAACAACGATGAGTGAATTGTTGTCCAGAAACCTGATTCCTGTGGATTCAGGCACTATCGTCACTCGTCAAGATAATGTCCAGTGTAGATACTCGAAAACTTTAAAACTTAAATAAAATATTTTATACGCCTGTGTACACCAAGGTAACAAAAAATGTCATTTTTTACAATGTCACCAAATCGTGTCAGTACTCCTTTACAATAAACGCCATGAAACCCTTGCTTCAGCTAACTGCATCACACCTTATATAAAGGGGCATCTTTGTGTTTCACTGGTGCCATCTATAGAAGCAGTTCACTCGAATTTGTGTGAGCGGACCTGACCAGGGAGACAGGTTACCGATCCTGCTCGTCTGAAAAAGAAACACCGGTTCTTGCTTCAAAGCATGCTTGCCAAATGACGCAACAAATGAAGAAAGGCTAAAGTCCTGGAATGGAAAAAGTGTCGCGAGCATCTAGCCCACTGCCATACTAGGACAACGGAGGCTGCAGCAGCATGGTGTTCATTTTAAAGGCCAACTCCGGCGACTTTTTGACCATGTCAAAGAAATGATGTTTCTATGTTCCTGAGACACTCTTGTCACGAGCCCAATAGCTGAAATGCTCAGAAAATTTGAAAATAATTTTTAATAAGCAAAAATGTGCAATACCAAAATCCCATTGAGCACCCTGTCTGCATATGACACACTATTTGGTAGAGCCGGAGGCCGTATACTAGTTCCGCCAGTGCGAAGTACGAAAACTGTGAAAGCCAGTCCAGTGAAGCACCGGCCAAACACCACAGAGGAAAGAAGAAAGCATTCGCGTGCTACACTTGTGCCAAACATCGCCGCCGTCGCCTAGCGGACAGCGCAATAAACGCTGTAGCGGTCAAAGTAGCAATGCCATCGGCTGCGTCACTTCCGTTGACATGCCAAACTTGACGTCACACAGACTGTGTTGCCAACAATTCTGGCAAGTGAAGTGAGCTTTTTGAGGCAATCTTTAAAATTCATTTGCAAACGATAAATGCATCACTCAAACCTGTGATTTGGCATAAAGGACAAAAATGTGCAACGGAACATACCCAGCGAATTTCATGGAGATTCATAGACCCCGAAAAATCGCCGGAGTTGGCCTTTAATTAAGTGGAATAATGCATGTTCTTGCAGCCTTGAATGAAGCGTGCTATCATTGTGCTTAGGCAGGAAAGGGTGGCAGTTGCCTACACATGCATGCATACTAGTGTGATGAAAGAAATGAAAACTGCTCGGTAAATTCATGTACCACCGCCTATCTGTTGACCCCACTAGCATGATGCAATCAAGAATGATTCCGACGTAGGTGAAGGTGTGGTGAAAACAAATGCAAAACAGCGGAGTGTATGGGTGTCACACTTCTATTCATCGCCTCTGTGTGCGCTAGAATACGTGATAAGTGGTCACGCAGAAAGATGTAATACAATGAATACCCATCCAATATTTATTTTCAACAGTTTTGCCACAGCTCTGCTCATACCCGTGCTATAGGAGCCGCATTTATTGTTGGTTCATTTTCCTTGTGGCAGCCCTTTATAAAGAAACATTTACAACATCAGAGCAGCTGTTTCGTGAAGCTAATAAAAGAGGACTGAAGCTGACACCCCACCAACAAACACCTCTAGCAACTCAATAAATAACGTCAACCATTCACTTTCAGGAGCTTTAAAAATAGGTGCTGCAACCACAAGCACAGCCCTCAACCAGTCTTTGACGTGTTCACAGACTTGTTGACAATGAAGCGTCAGAACAGTACCGTAAGGTTTCTTAATAATTTTTAAATACATGCTACAAAAAAATCGCCCTGCGAAACCACTGTGTGTTGACATCCAGAAGATACTAGCAAGATGAGTGAGCAGAAACAAACTCTCTATTTTTCTTGTTCTAGTGACAGATTCAAAGAGCAGTGACATCAAACTAGAGATGTGGCATTCATTCAAATGCTCAGAATGCATTAGTAATCATTAGTGAAGTATCAACGGTGTCCGTTTTGTAAATGTTATTCCATTTCAAGTATGTCCAAATGCTCGATGGCGCATTCTGCACCATGCAACATCAACAACATTGTGGCGAAAGTATTTTGACGTGTTCAGCGAATTTCTACCTCAGGCGCTGAGTGAGTCAACAATTTAAGTGTGGTCATCACGGTGCCTACTCTGCCTGGCAAAGGCTTCCCTTGTTTTGCATTTCTTGGTTTGTGCAGTGCATTTGTGTGAGTCCTATACTTTCGTCGTGCTACTTCAAATGATTTGTTCGCGAGCGTGAGTGCGATTATTCGAAGCTACGTTCACCTCGAACACCCATGCATGCATCTCCAGCTGCCTCTTTCAGAATCACTGCTCTGAAGAGGATCAAATCGAAAATGGTTTGCCAAGCAGTGTATCCATATTCTTCAGATCGCCACTTGTGGATGCTGATGACGGTGGCAACAACGACAGAGGTAGCGAAGGCATGCTTACATGTGCGTGCAGAGCAGACAAAATGTCAGCTGAAACTCATGTCACCATTTCCTGTGGTCATGTGATCAGATGGGGTGTGTCCATAGGAGCTGTCCACTTGGCAGTGCTCAAAATTGGTGGGCTTTGCACCAGTTTTGAATTCAGTTCGACACTGGCAATACTATCCCTCTGTTGCATAGTCAGTGCCGAATTCTTACTAAGGGATTGATAACTACATGTTAACGCGACATGCCCAAAAGTTGATGTCACTGCTCCTTTTAAAAAGCGGTAGAAGAGGAGAGACGCTGTCCTTGAGAAAAATGGAAGCTGCTCTTCTACGAACCATTGAGCTTTGCAGCGTCTGCTTGCCTACCTATTTTAACATCTGCTCCGCACACACTATTTCT